GGAGATTCCTGTCTGACCTCATCTGTCAACCTGTCCATCACCATAGCAAACAAGAAGGGACTCAAAGCCGATCCTTGATGTAGCCCCACCTCCACCTTGAACTCCTCTGTCTGACCTACAGCACACTCACTACTGTTGTACTCCTCTCATAGGCTTCTTCTTCTCATCCATATTATTATTATTGCTTTGGTCTAAAACTGCTTTTCCATTCAACGTACCTTTTGAACAATAGTTGATAAAATTTAACATTGCGATTTTGACTGTTTCCAGCTTACACTCCTCCCATTTCATTATCAATCACATCACCATTGTGCTGCTTACAACAGTGATTCCTCCTCTCGATTATGAAAATCCTAGACCAAGAACTGTCCAGAAGTTGGTATCTTTTATTGTTTCTTAATTGGATGCATTTAGTTTTAGGTCCCTTGTTCAGCCCCTATAGAAATGTTTCCTCTCATGTCAACTCATGCAGTTCTGACAGGGTAATACTGTTGTCGCACATGTTCAAATGCTATATTACCATGTTCTGCAAACTGTGTAAGAATCTGTGGTCTGTGACTTCTACTTTTGGAGGAAAATGAGCTGCTCTGTCTTGTCTCCCTGTGTCTGTCACACAGACGCACACATTCTCTGTCCGTCAGACAGACGGAATGTGAGCATGGACTGCTGGCTAAAATATAAATCCAGATCAACTGAAGTGGAAACCGCTCATGAAAAAAAGGAAAGCCAAAAGGACTAACTTTAGCACAAACTGCTGTGTCAGTGACGTCAACGTTAACAATGCTGATCCTTAATCTTCAGGTTCCTCAGACAGGTAACAGTAACGTTTCAGCAGACGTTTCAGGCTAACTGGCTCAGAATATATCTGTGGCTTTAATTTAACAATGGTGAAATGAGCTGCTCCATTTGTAAAATGTATGGTGCTGCACCTTTTACCAGCCCCGCTTACAAAACATCAACTCTAGGTTGCCACTCAGGCAGCATTTCATTTCAGAGTTTGGTCCCTCACTTAGAACAGTTTTTTATGCTAGGAAGTTGGACATGGAGGAGACAGAGGACAGGGGAATAATAGTACATGAGGACAAGAGAAAAGGGAGACAAAAACGACTAAGGACACTGATACAGCTCAAGAGAGCAGAAGGAGAAAGAGACTAATTACAGCAATGGTTCTGAGAATTTCTTAAGGTGGATCAGATTGATGAAATGTAATTTAAGGTAAGAACAGGACTAGGTAAGAACTGCAGTTAAGCTCACAGGTAGTATCTGCCCAAAGTATATAAATCCCCCCATGTGAAGCATTCAAGGGGAAATTCCCCCATTTCGAAAAGTCAATCAATCATAAACACAGAGACAGTTTCTTCCCTATATATGACCTTAGCAGTCTGTAAGTGTTCAAAAAGTTCAGAAAGTTATAAAATAGAATTTGTTGCTGGAAATGGCCAGTACTCTGATAGAAGTACACTCACCCGCAGAACACTCGCACTGCATTGTTGTTGATCTTCTTGTCAAACAAGTACCGTCTGTAGTCTTCCAGGGCATCTTTGATAGCAATAACAGTGAGGACCACAAGCAGAGGAATCATGGTAATTTCCTTCTGAAAAGCTTCAACAACTGGCACCCAGTTCAATAATGCCAGGAACAGGAAATAGAGGTTGGCAACCCTGCAAATGAAAGACCAGAGCAGAAAATTAGCATGCAGAAACCACAGACTTTTAATGGATACTACTGAAGTGCAACCAAGGTCTACCAGACCATTTCCAAGGATGCACTACCACACCAGCATGAACCCCCTGTCTCTCAGGCAATTGTTTGGTTCACCACTTTGGTCCAGAAAAATCTCTGGACTTCAGAAAATGAAGATCAATAAGCTAAACTAACATTTCTACCTAAAGTCCACGCAGATTCTCAGTCATCCAGGTCATAGTAAGCTGAAAAAAAATTTTCTAGGTTTTTTTGGATGAATGTTCAGATTCAGATGGATGAACTGGATGAACTCCTTCTTGTCAACAGGACTAACTCTGACTTTGCATGCTCTGCTGTTTATGCTTCACGGAAACTTGGCTCAGCGACTCCAGGTGTACAGAGCTGATTGTTAATGGAGCTGTCCGGGAAAACGAGAGGAGGGGGAATCACTACATAAATGAAGGTTGATGCACAGATATCACAGTGCTACAGAGGACAGGTAGCACGGACTTAGAGACCTCTTTTGATCAATTGCAAACCTTTTTATTCTCCCCGTGAAATTTAGAGTTTCATTCTGATTGGAGTGTATTTAAAACCGAACGCACCAATTGGGTTAATTTCTAACAAAGAGGTTAGAATCTAACACTAGCATGGAGCTAGAACATCTTGACTCTCCACTCATTGTTCTAGGGGACTTTAACAGAGCAAATCTTTCCCATAAACTGCCCAAATACAGACAGCACGTCACCTGTCCCACCAGGGACAAAATCACACTGGACCACTGCTACACAGCAATTGCAATTAAAGACACCTATCGCTCTGTCCCCCATGCAGCCCTTGGACTCTCTGATCACTGTATGGTCCATCTTATTCCAACCTACAGGCAGAAACTTAAAAAGCCTGTGGTCAAAACAATGAAGAGCTGGACTGAGGAGGCTAAGTCAGAGCTACAGGCCTGCTTTGACTGCACAGACTGGAGTGTACTGTATCTGAGACTGCAGCTATAGACCTGAACAAACTCACTGACACTGGAACATCTTATATCAGCTTTTGTGAGGATGTGTGTGTGCCCAAAAAGTCCTTCTGCACATACAACAACAAGCCCCGGTTCACAGTAAGACTCAAAATTGCTTCGTCGTGCCAAAGAGGAGGCCTACAAAAGTGGGGACAGGACTCTGTACAGCCAGGCCAGGAACACAATGACAACGGAGTTCAGAGCAGCAAAGAGAAGCTACTCTGAAAAGCTGAGGAACTAGCTTTCAATCAACGACCCCTCAGCTTTGTGGAGGAGCCTAAAGAACATCACTGGCTACAGGAAACCATCCCCCCTGCTGAGGAGAGCCATCAACTAGCAGACGACCTGAATGAGTTTTACTGCAGGTTTGAGAATAAACACTCTGCCTTTTGAGAGACTGATGTTAGCCCACCTGAAGGACATCATAGACCCCTGCTGGACCCCCTGCAGTTTGCCTACAGAGCAAACAGGGCAGTGGACCATGCAGTCAACATAGCACTGCATTACATCCTGCAACACCTCGACTCCCCAGGGTCTTAGGCATGGATCCTCTTTGTGGACTTCAGCTCGGTGTTCAACACCATCATCCCGGACATCCTCCACTCCAAATCGACCCAGCTCACTGTGCCTGCCCCCACCTGTCAGTGAATCACTAAGTTTCTGACAGACAGGAAGCAGCAGGTGAGGCTGGGGAAAACCACATCCAGCATTCGGACAATCGGCACAGGCGCCCCAGGAATGTGTACTCTCCCCTCTACTGTTTTCACTGTACAACAATGACTGCATCTCGAATGACCCCTCTGTCAAGCTCCTAAAGTTTGCAGATGACAACGCTGATACAGTTCTACAGAGGAATCATCGAGTCTGTTCTCTGCTCATCCATCACTGTCTGGTTTGGCTCAGCAACCAAACAGGACAGGAACAGACTCCAGTGGACAGTCAGGTCTGCAGAAAAGATCATCAGAGCAAGCCTGCCCTCTATGGAGGACATGTATACCTCACAAGTCAAAAGGAGGGACAAGAAGATTTCTGCAGACCCCTCACACCCTGGACACAAATTGTTTGAACTCCTCCCTGGACGGTGCTGTTGGGTATTTTTAATCAGATAGATATTGGTTAGGTAATTGTATGTATTAGAAATGTTTAGTGGGGAAAGGATGTCTAGTTAGACTGTTAAATGCTTAGTCATGCTTATGAGTTTCTACAGGGTACATCTGGTCAAGGATAACCAGAGAGAAAAGTTGATGACTGTCAGCAGACAGGATGTTTAATATTATTATTATGACGTGTATAACTGTAGCCTTAGCCATAATATGTTCTTATGTTTAATGTCATGACATGTCACTAGAGGTCGTGTGAGAATGTTTTTAGCTACACACCAC